AGATGTGCACTACCAGTTGTTCTTTAGGGGGTGGGAGTTAGACCATTGACCCTATTGGATCATTAGGTTGCTTTGCAGTGTTACCAGTTGGTTATTTGGGCTTTAGGCCTATCGACTGCCAGGGTATTAAGGCCATCAACATGTTGAGACTCCTCACCACTACCGAGGATGTGCACGGCTGGAATAACAAGGTGTACAGCACTTGATTGGTTGTCGTGTGGCTGCACAGATTATCACTACATCTGGCAATTTAAGATGCTAAATTAAACCTGTGCCAAATTTCACCTTTTGAATATAATAAAATAATTCGTAGTCAATTAAATTACTTTTCAACACAAAATATCACTGCTGCTCTTTGTAAACAATTTGAAATTACTCCACCTGACAGAATTCTGGGAGTGATTACTCCTTAGAAAAAAAAATTATCTAGAGCACTGAATTAACTGTTAAAAATGGAGATTTTGTGATACACAAGCCAATCATCAATAACATACTGGATTACAATTAACTTTGTTTGGTCACCAATTTCAAAGTTACTTTTTTAATTTATATATATATATATTATTTTTTTTTTTAAATATACTATCAAATTTCAGATCTGTGTTTGGGATAATAATTACATTTTCTAATATGAAATATCAAAAGGAAATAAAATACTTAAACATCATCTGAATGTTCAGTAAGCTAGGGAACCTCACTAGAAGAAGAACAAGAACAATGTGCAACAAGCTACTAGAAAAGGCTTATTAATCGATAATACTTGTGTGCTTTGTCCATAAACATCATACTTGCAACCAGTTTTTAAGTAAAGTTCACCGTTGCATACAACTATTTTAAATACTCTATCATGTATGAATTATCCACAAGCAAAAAAATGACAGTTTTCCTTGATAAGGACTGGCTTTAAGTATTTCTATTCTTGTTTTGTGTTTTGTCAAAGACTTCAGCTTAGTTGATGGGATGGCTTAGATGGACCAACGGGGCCCTTGTTGCCCTTAAATGCTATGATCACTAACTAAACACTCAAACTCACTGGCTTTTTGCCAGATAGCCACTCCTAATTCTTTGTCCTGTGTATGTAAAAAAATATATTCTAATAATCATAATACTTTTGATGTCTTATTTTTTTACAATAAGTAAACATTTTTCTCAGAAATGTTCAAATAGCTCTTGCTTTCATCTGACTTTATATGTAACTATAGCAAACTTTACTACATTCTTAAAAAATATGAAGCTTGTCTTTTCTTGACACAGTGAGCTTATTTTTCTTAGCAAATTTCCAATAATTGCATGTACAGTGCATGCAGGTGCACTAATTCATTTCAGTGCAGCAGCCTTCTAACTTCAACAAAAAAGATGTCAACTTCTTGTTGAAGGAAGCAACTGTGATATGAGATAACGGTTACACGAAAAGGAAGTATCTAAATGGAAATCCATCACTTTTTAAAAACTTGCATCAACATAAGTATCACTTTCAGATTTCATTTGAATAAATTTAAATTCTCCATGTACGAACACTGAAAGTTATCTTAACATGTGTAGCAAAAGCAACTTCGAAGCTCAATTTTCAAGACACTCCTGTTTCTTTCCAAATCTTTATACCACATTTAAGAAATCACACAGCTATAAGTGACTTGCAGACATTAATATTTACCATTTGTCATCTTTCAAAATTGTTTTTGAAAAGTTTTTGATGGCAAAGTTATCATATTTAAAAAAAAATTTTGGTGAATACTTAGATATATATGTTGCATAAAATAACTGCACCTATGCATTGGATTTCGAATACTCAACAAAATACGATGCACGTGTTTGTAAGACTTAATCTATTAACTTAGATACTCATATTAACCTAAATATTGTTACTTAATTTACATTTAACCAAGTTTCATCAAAACTAATGTGGAAGTCTACCCAAATGACAACTTGTAGATATTTCAATATTAATGGTGAGTGGGTGTAATTTAGTTAGTAAATTACTTTCAGCAGGAAAATAGGTTGCAACAATGTTGTTACTATCCAATCTAAAAAAAAAAATTTATTTTCAAAAGCTGTTCATCATTCAGTAACTTGTCTAGGATATAAATACACACTTAACATATACATTATATGTCAAGTGGCTTTCAATACCATCATTCATACGTTATATTAGATATATTACGAAGTTGTTACAGCCTCTTCTTTATTACTATTATGAAAACTAAAAGGAGTTCTTTGTTTCTAAGTAAATGTTCAAGAACCAGTTCCTGGTTATCCTTCTACTCTTATTACAGAACCTAGTGAAAATAACTAGCACTTCCAAAACCACAAGCATTTTTCACCTTAGAAATATGCCCATCACATAAAAGTTAATTCTAAAAACAAGCATATTCTCCTGCAAAGTGAATTTTGTATTTTATATATTAAATGCAAGTAGATATCACTACCAACATGGCTAAAAGTTGTGCTAGCAGTAATGTTCTAATTGAGTTCTAACATCAGTGACATTTCTTTTATAGCAAATATTTAAACCTAACTATATGGCACTTAGTATTTAAATGCTATACAGTTTCTTTGTGCTTTTCTCAGTTCAGGAGTTTCATTACAAAAATGTAGCATTTATTATCATGGAATATTTTCCAATATACAGAAACATTTCTAAGAGAGTCAATATGTTTTACAAACAAATACTTCCAAAAAATACCCATTTATATGGTCATGCCAATCTGTTTTCTTCATGTCTTGGGAAAAAAATTCAAACAGTTACTTTACTTTTACATGATTTATACTCGTGAATGGATATCACTTCTCCACACAAGATGCCTTTATTTCCAACTAAACAAAGGATAGTATCATATGAACCCACACCTATTCCTTATAAATTTGTGATTAGTCAGAACTGGGATTTTAAGTTATATAAAGTACACCTCACAACATGTATTGGACACTACCAAGAATACAGTCAACTACAATGTTAACAAAACAATCTTTTAATCTTGCTGAAATGGAACAGCTATATTTCATTTGATGCTAGGTTACAATGCAAAATAAATAAATTCACAAACGTATGCGTATAATTCTGAACTAATATTTACTCTAAGAAATGGGACATGATTCCCAAGCACAACATTAAAACAAATTATAGGTTTTGCCAGATAAATCTTTATGTTAACACCCTAAAAATGGCACCAAGCCAGAAAAGAACTTGAATTGATAAATTGTCAAAAAAATGATTACTACAGAATCACGTCGTCCTAGTAACAACAAAATGTAGGTATAATAACTAAAAGTATTCTAAATTTTATTAAATAAATATAGTGTGAAACTTGGTATATTTGAAAACAATGAAATAAATCACCGATGAATCAATGTGATACACGTATCTTGTCACAGTAAAAACCATCAAAAAACAAACTTTCAAAAGATAATAAATACTTATCCAAATTTATATTAACCCCAACACCAACAAACACAATAGTTTATCCCAGAAATCAACATCTGTTCAACATCTGTGAAACAAACCTGTACAAATGTGACAAATAAAAAAAAAGTAAGGTCTCCAAATGTGATACATTTTACACAAATTAATATTTGTGTCCACATAAAACTGTGCACAAGTTTAATGGAATAAAATATTTGTTTACATCTGCCATCCTCACAACTACCTGTTCTTAGTTTCTATAAGAACCTAAATCATAGTAGTAAATTAAATGCTTATTTAGTACTTGTACTACTAGTATTACACTTTTTCTCAGTATTATTTACATTTTTTAGTTATTATTCCAAAGTCCTGTTGATGTAACATCAAATTTGATATTAAAATAAAAAAATTACATCCTTAACCACAGAGTGCAAACTCTATTTAAACTATACAGTTTCAATGTTTTTTCAATCATATATATATACACATATAACATTACACAATAGCAGTTGAACTTGATGATTAAATATCCCAATAATATTAATAACTGTCAATATGGACCCATGCAATTTCTTTACTTAATTATATGATAGATGGCTCTTTACTTAGACCCATCCACAGTAGGATTCTAACTCTGTGTGTGTCTGTCCATGTTGCAGTCTTCATCAGTGTTCTGTGGTTTTAGGTTTTTATAAAGTTTTATATTGAGATCATATTTATCCCATATGACTACTTGGGTTATAATTTTTTGCAAGGTCAGTTTGTTTTCCTGTGATTTTAATTTACTTGATTTTATGTGTTTTTCTTAGTTTATGGCTAAAACATGTCTTTTTATTTGATATCTCTTCTTTTCTGGCATTTCTCTGTTTAGTCATTTGTTTTAGATGATATCTAATTACTTCTTGTACATCTTCATTTTGCCACTTTGGCTTTTATTTTATACAGATGGCTAAAAAAGGACTTAGCACCACTGCAGTACATTTTAATATCATAAGTCATAATCTATGGTTTTCATTATTTTATTTTGCTTACAAATAAGGGTTTGGACAAAAGTAAATTAAGAGGTTGAGCTTCATGATAATCTAAATACCATATTCGGTCATAGTGACCCCAGGTGACCACATATGTTCCATTTTACCATGCAACTAATTGAGTGTTAATATCTATTTTGAGAGATTTTCTTCTTGAAGCTTAAATAAAGCAGGAAGTATAAAATCATGGTGTATAATTACTTTATATTTATTAATATTTTATAAGTATGAGTACGAAAGTACATTATGCAGTAGTACTAGTACTAATAATTTACATTGATACTGATAGCGATACTGTTATAGTGGCACAAAGCTGTGTTAGTGTTACTGCTTGCTGTAACTTGTAAGTGTAACATTATATTTTATGTTATTATTACTCATACTGAGTCACAGTCATGCAACGTACACTCACACTGTCAAAGTCACATTGGCTATACCATACTTCTGCAGGAAACAGTTAAGGCTTAAGCCTAACACTAGTAACACTGTGCTTAATAAAAGTGTATTTAAAAATCAAAATGGCCATATCAAATAAGGAATGCTGGATATCACCAAACAAGTCTACATACCCAAAACAGCAAGTTGAAAATAATAACCAAATATTTGATGCACACATTACATCCTTTGAGTGCCATTTTTGAACCGAACGTCCTCTACGTTAGTTGACAATCCGTAAAATCACTGAGATCCAATTATTCGTCACTTGCTTTTCCTGCTGACTACTCCCTGTATTCGCCTACAAGTACAACTTACAATCAAGATTAACGTGCCTACGGTTCAGAATGTTCGATTGTCTTGTTAAAACGACCAACTGGATGTATAACCCAACAAAAGGTCTTTGTTACTCTATACACGGGGTACATAAATATTGAGCCAATTTTAGTATACTTTGTGAGGGTTATCAAAGTAGTTACGTTAGAGAGTAGAACCTCTTCAGGGCGGGACAATCGAACAAAATGTTCTTTTACGCAATCCCTTGACGTCATACTTATATATTATAGAGATGTGCTGTACGGAAATATTATGACTTATCTACAAAAAAAAAAATAAAAAAAAAAAAAAAAACAGTTGTAAATGAAGTCGAGATCTAACAGCCACTGAAATTATGAAAGAAAATTTGTTAATTAAACAAAAACAACGCGTAAGTTAATATAGTTATCAAGAATAATTTACCCCTCAAACAACAAGAACAACAATAATTGTGAATTTATCGTTTGTTTTCCGAATTTTGAAAATGTTTACATGGATGAGTTTTTCCACTGAATAGTAGTATTCACTTCATTGACAGCTTACACTGGGTAGTTGGAAAAATTGTGTATGTATATATATATATATGTTAGATTATAGATTAAGTACACAATGTTTCCGTAATAAAACATGGACCTAATATATACACAAGGAAAATAGCGGAAGTCTTGCTAATTAAAACACACAAATACTAAATTAATAAACATCTAAGCACACATCTTTGCCCTTTTTTTCATTTTTGTAAGTTAACTTATGAAACTAACTACCTACTCACACCTTTATGTAAATAACTACATCCATTTTATTAAGTTTACTGTTATCAACTTGGTATATGATTTTTCACGAATCATTTGAGAACAGCATGTTTTTCGCCTTTAATTTTACACACCTTCACGTGTGCCTTGTCTATCTTGCTATTAGTATTATGGCGACATTCCAATTCAGCCAGTCTTGTGTTTCTACTTTGTACTTGCTCGACGTAACGGTTCCCGGTGGGTCAGCGGTAAGTGTACGGACTTATAACGCTAAAATCCGGGGTTCGATTCCAAATGTGGCTGTGCTCTGAAATAACCAACCAAACAAACAACCTATTACCGTAATGACCTTAATACAGTTTAATTTGGGGTCGTCCGGTATTAGATTTTTTTAAGCCAATAATTTTTACACCTGGGTGTCCGGCCCAAACGGTAACCCTAAGATTGCGATTCGAGCATATTAACCATTCAGGTCATGTCAGGACTAAACGTTGTACTTATACTATAAGCTGTCAGCGAATTGAATGTTAGAAAATGTTTGTTTGTTTGTTTGTTGTTAAGCTCAATGCTACACAATGTGTTCTGTTCACCGTGGGTATAGAAACCTGATTTTTAGCGCCATAAGCCTTCAAGCTTACCGTTGAGCCTGGAGAGTATTTAGAGAATGGGAAATTTCCTTTCAAATGTCCTTTAGTTAAATATATTTGCATAAACTTAGGGAATCATGTGATTTAAGTTATTTTGCGAGTTTATATGCCTAAATAATTTGATGCTTATTTATTAAGATAGTGTTTGTTGATAAGGGTAAGTTGTTTTTAATACATTTTTTAAGTTGCTTTAATTATGGAAGGAAATGAAGTAATATTAAAGTACTTAATTAATGAGCATACTTTATGGGTAAAAATATGGTTAAACTGAGTTTCCAACTGTTACACTTAAAAAAAACTGTTAATTTTACTCCCTCGTAACTAGTGTGAAAAAATAAATTTAGTAAGGTATTTTCAGACATTTTTATTTTTCACGTAGGCGTTAAACATGTACTAATCTTTGTGCTTAGGCAGAAGTTACTTACATACGTCAACTATTATCTCATGAACGATTGTATTGATTTAACCCAGTACTTTTGTCCATTTCCGGAGGCGGACCAAGCCCATCCTATGGGTCAGCACAGAATTTTGTATAAATTGTTATGAATAAGGGATTCTCTCCCTTAATTATACTATTAACGATAGACATTAACATAGGTCATATAAAAATTGTGGGATAATACACCAGGCCCCCTTTGACTCGAAACTATCGATATTTCATTATTTTTTGTCTTGTGCAGACATTTAGGAAATCCTTCTCCAGCCTTTTTGGCCAGTTTAGTGATTCAACAAAAGTTAGAAGCTGACAATTAAGTGAAGTTTATGTACAAACACCGTTCTTAAATAAAATTTTGTTTTATGTGTTCAACTGTGTATACTCATTTTTGCTTTGCTGTCTGTGTTTAATTTTCCAACAGAAACTTTTGGCTACTGTTGGATATCAGTGTACATAATACCAAAGTGTAGTTAAAAGATCAATAATGCCATAAACATGGTTTGTGTATTTTAAACATGTTTCATTTTCCATTTGACTCTGGTACAGTATGTTTTTTTTTCTTTTTTTTTAAGTCTTGATGATGGAAGGGTCACTTTTGAGACATATAGAACTTACAGTGAAGAGAAGGAAGCTGCAGTTGAAATTAAACTTGATTCAATAATGTGCCAAAGGCTAAGAGAAAAAGTCTCTTAAACACAAAGCTTTTGCTGGCAATAATGAGAGCTATGTCTGTGTTCTTGCTTTGTCCTTGGGACTGTGAGGTTGATAAGCAACTCACTGGGCAACTCCATGCAACTGTGACACAACCTTTAATTGTTATTATTTTTATGTGGGAACACAGGGTAGAAGACAGGAGTCATGGTAATGTCAAGTAGCTTGAATGTCCAAGGACTTACTGGAGTGGTTTTTATGGGACTCCGAGGTGCTCATTAAAAATATCAGATATCAAAGGATGTTAGTTTGAGCCACCAGGGCCAAAGAGATGTTACTTTGAGCCATCAGAACCAAAGAGAATGATATATTCATTTTAAATGAAGTCCAACGTGTTCCGTTGCAGTGTCATCAGATAAAACAGGTGGGATATCGCTGTCATCCAACGTAATTAGGAATTATTCAATACATTCAAAGCATACTGACAACACTTCAATGCCATGTCTTGCAGCCAAAAACAATATGGAATGTAGTGACAATGTGTTACACAACATGTAGCATTATTACCATAGCAATGATGGTGCATGTTTACATGCTTCAAGTCATAAAATTACAGATATAGTCCAAGTACATCGTAATTTTTTCTGGTTTTATACATCTGTCGACTTCCAGGATGAAAACCTAACACAAGAGTAAGATCAGAAACAAAATAAATGTAGATAAGTATATTAACACATTAATCAAATACAGAACACCTGCACACAGAACACCTGCACACAAAAAAACAATAAAAATATTCTTTAATATGCCTGAACAAATATATGATATTTGTTTGTTATGTTTGTTTGGAATTAAGCACAAAGCTACACGATGGGCTATCTGTGCTCTGCCCACCACGGGTATCGAAACCCGGTTTCTGGCGTTGTAAGCCCGCAGACATACCGCTATGCCATTGGGGAGCTTTGTTTGTTATAAAAGGATCAAATGTGGAAAAGATATGAATTATTGCTAAATATAATATAACATACAGAATAACAACACTCTATTTACAATAGCCCCTCAGTGGCTCAGCGGTAAATCTGTAGACTTACGACGCTAAAATTCGGTTTCAATGCCCGTGGTAGACCATTGTGTATCTTTGTGCTTAACAACAACCATAAAGTAATTTCATTACATCACAAATGTGAATATTTGTAAAAGCTACTGTAAAGAAGGCTGCAAAATAAATCCAACGTGCACTTGAATAAAGAAAACGTGAATCATTGCTGTAAGCTTTTTCTCCATAGTGTATCTGGGAAATATCATCATGACGTTAAGGAGCTTGAAAACTGTACACTTGAATTCAAGCTTGTGTTATATAGTAGAATTACGTAATTTCTTACAATGCTAATATTACCATGGCAACCGACAGGAGCCACATCCCGTATGTCATATATTTAGCTACAGAATAGTAACGTATCACCACCTGTGAGTAGTAAAACTCAACAATTATTTATAGGCATCTCAAAATAAATATTTAATGGATAATTTAGCCAAACTTTAACTTCTCGGCTACAATTCTCATTAATATAATTAGTATTTGTGCTTATTCTACCTTATATATTAATACACACTTAAACCAGCCTGTTCTAGATGGCTGCCAACCATGGACCATCTATATACCATACCTATCTACACGAGGTGATCCAAGCGGATCAAATGATATAACAGAAAAGTAAATCCGGATAAATCCAATATACATTAAAATGTACTGCTGAGAGTACCAAACCGTCTATTCCAGATAACTTCTACTACTTGGCTAGATAGGGTGATTAATTCTAGAGAAATGTCAGAAGATTGTTTTTCTGTCAAAAGCAACTCAATAGCTCAGGAAAGAAGGATTACAACACCCTTTAAGTGAGTTCTCGGACTCCTAGCAAACACCTCCAGTTGTGCAAACTGTTGCTGTTCAAAATATTAAATCAGCCATCCTAAATTGTGATAATCGTATGATAGTCACAAAATTCAATTCATACATTTTGTCAGATAACACCAACTAACAAAATATTTCTTGAAAAAAATCTCTATTACCCATCTAAGTTCCTTTGACTTATACTAACCTAGATTTTTTTATAATGTATTTCAGGCATTGCTTCGTCTAAGTTTTAAACATGAGCAATGGATATATATATATATATTTAATGTTCATTCTTTTTATCAATATTCTAAAGTTACGTCATCGTTCTACACAAGCATATTATACTGCAACTTATATTCCTGTATCCAAGATGATAACCAATATAATCGAAACAGACATTGTTTTTACAGAAACATTTATATAAGAACAACCGATACTTGTTCTTCATACAGAGCTATAAAAGTAAATCGAGCTTCATTTAGTTTCGACAGGAATTTTCAAACTATTTTACATTTAGCGCCAAAATTATTGTTACGAAATATGCAGTATTAATATAATTTCAAAGTAAAGTGAAATCATGACTCCAAACCCTACCCGAAAGAAAGAAATTGATTAATAAAAATATCAACTGATATCGATGGGATGTGCCATTTAGAAAAAATATACGAACTTTTTCTTTTCAGAACAATATGTAAAGTTCAAAGCAAATAATGAATAACTTATGAATATATATTAAGCTTATAAAACTAAAGACAACATGGCAGGTAAAGAATTACTTGACGCCACCTAGAATAATTAAATCACTAAATGGTAAAATGTGGACAAAAAAAAACTCTTAATTGTTACTTACCTAAATCAGTGAAATTAGGATCCTTACAATTATCCTAGCAAGAAACAATAAAATAACTATTATGTGTTTTTCATACATACAAGTATACATATATCATCAATATTCTAAACAACAATAGCATTAAATGGGTAAAAGATATAGATTTCTATAACAAGTAGATAATAATGACCATTATCAAAGTTAACTGATTGTAACGTATAACAATACAAAAAAGTAGCCATGTTTCTTACTAAGTTCAGGTTCTAAAAGCTTTTGAATCGAACTAGTAAAAATTTAATAACAATAATTATATAATAAAATTATAATATAATGAGCTTATCGCACACTTTCTTCTATTTAAATTGCCCTCAGGTAGCTCAGCGGTACACTTCAGAGATCATAACAGTTATGTTTGGGATACTAAAAATTACAGTTGAAAGACCGAAATCTGGTGAAGCATTATAAACAAAAAGACCTAAAACTTGCAATAAATAACATGTAAACTGCAACCTTTGTTTCCACATTTGGTGTTTTGTATTGGAAATCAGAAGTATGTAAAATATTATTTTAGAAATAGCTTTAGTCTCCCACAAGTTACTACCAAAGATGATTTTCGTATAGCACCAAAACTCGTCATTTGGGCTTGGCAATGAAAGACAAAATATTCTCTGAAACACTATTTATATATGCAGTAAAATACGTTAAATTGTTACTTGATTTTTATCACAAGTCTTAGGCCTATTCATTTCCAATGCTTTGCTAACTTTCGGCGTTTAAACCGTAACTCTCAAAGTGTTATATTAATAATGGCTGGAGACGGCTTGAATGGGTAATGAAGA